TGATGAACCTTAAGGGATTGGAGTAGCATGGTTGCCCGCAAGTTCTAAAGCTAGCATTGTAGTTTTCTTAGTCACTTCTATTTTCCATTTCTCAAAAGTCACAATTCTGTTTGTGCTATTATGGAAACAGATCCCAGATATTTATGTTTTTTAAATTAAGACTTAAATTGGCTTGGCTTGAATATCTAAGGAAATTTTGGAGATTCAGTGAGTTTGTGTGTGGTATCTTATGATGTCTGCCTTCATATATCCAGTTAGGTGCACATGGAAGTAATGAGGAACTGAACTTTGTTGAATAACTGATGTTTTCAGTGTTGGATAAGCAAACACTTTGTAACCACTGGAGAGCCAACTTTTTGGATCTGTCTTTGAGGTCGATCTCTGTCACTTGGACCTGATGAGAAGCTTTCCAAGCTAAACCAGAAACTATTCCCATTTGACTCCCAGTTCAGAGACTGTGGTCTGTATGTGTTTGGCCTGCAACCTTTCTCTATAACTTGTTTTCACAGAACTTCTTTCTCAACAGGCATTGTGTAAAATTTTTGGACGCATATGGTTCAGTAAGGATACTGATTCTCCACTTTCATCTGATTCACAGATTAGCCAGATGCCTGGCTAACACGATTCTGTTACTGGTGTCTTCCTATTTGTCAGAGAGGAATGCGGAATTCCTCCCCTCACTCCATTTCTCCTTTTGGAATTGTTAGTATGGTGTTATAGGTTAGATTCATCCCTGACCTTTTTTTCCCTCATGGAGTGTATGATGGATCATTCTCACTGTGAATCAAAGTGTGTATAAGTATCAGTACAGCCTGTTTGAACTTTTACTGGCAAAATAGACAAGATTTTCTATATAGTTGGGTTTTTTTGCAGCCATGTTCTTCCCATGTCCCATTCCCAAATCTTAAGACTCAGCTTGGAATCCAGGTGCAACTTCTATGGCTGATGTGCACTTAGATAATCAGCAGTTCTAACATTCTTTTCCTTAGAGCAGTCTAAGCAAATCTGAATTTCTTTATATTTAAAAACTCTGTGTTGCTTAGCAAGGCTTGTGTGCTAATTGATGGTTAGATGACTGTCATGAAGTTTTCATTTTCCCAGTAATTTCCCACTGATTTGCTGGCATCTGACTTTGTTTAAATTTACTAGATATATGGTAAACCATAAGCTTCAGCAATCAAATCATAGAACTCAGGAAAAAGAATATTCATTGCTCCACCAGAGACAGATAGCATCTGCATGGCTTCCACAATTTACATATTTAATGTTTTCTGCAAGCTCTTTTAAGCATCTAAATCTTTTCTGGGTAAGAGAGCTGCTTGTACTGGTCAGCTAACATTGACATTTACCTGTGTAATCTTATGAGACTTTGAGGAGAGCACAGTTCACTCTTCATCTTTGGCTTCTAGCAATATAAGAAACTAGTGGCAGTTCCTGTTAGGTCCCTGACAGTGACTTATCTTGAATGAAACTGCATTTTATTTCTCTCCCTAGGTCTTTGTTTTCTGAAGGTCCAGTGAACTAATGTAAACAAGGTTTTAAAAATTAAGATTGTAACAAACTATTGGTATGAAGCAAAGCTTTAAAGAATCAAGAAGATGAGCTATACAGGCAAGAATTTGGGGTTGAGATTCCTAACCTTGTGAAGAAACCTCAGTTTTGAACAAGTTAAATTTCTCATGCCTTTAAATAGTGATATGAACTGTAAGACGATACCTGTCAAACAGATATTTTGATTTCTAGTTTCTATTTTCATTTCACTTTGTGTACTGTCTCGAATCTCTTTGAATACTATCCATTGGATACCTGTTAGGTACGTCTAGCTCTTCTTTAGTTGATGCCTAGGGTTCATACCTCTTTTACAGTAGACTAGACATACTGTCCTGCTTGCAATTAGGAGCCTGTTTCTCACATTCCAGAGATCATCAGGAATCTCTGTAGCTGAAACACTGGTTTTCTCAGTACTTCTCTTTTTATAGGCATGCTAATCCTAGAAGTTAATTCATCGGTGACTTCTGACAGCTCAAGCAAATGAACCATCTGCAAATATGTCTGGTTTTAAATGGAATTGCTCTTACTTCAGGCAGCAAAAGAGCGATATGTTGGCGCCTGTTTCAGGTGTCTGCTTGCTCCTGCTTCTCTTCCCTCATTGTCCCAAGATTTTCTTAAGACTGAAGTTTCTGTAATTCTGGGAATTTGTGTTTCCATTCAGCGTTGTCTCTTGTCATTGTAGTTAGTGTCCAGACACTACTTTTAAAGAACTATACTGAGAACTGACGCCTAAGAGCTCTATTTGGGAGAATTTGATTGCTGCAATTTTGCATTCTTGCAGGTGCCCTCACTCATGCTGTTATTTATTCTTTCTGTTTTTATTTTTCACCATTGGACTGATGCTCAGGAAATAAAATAAGACTTAGAAGTCAAATGCAGGGCTTGTGAATTGGTAAATTATACCTAAAACCTTTATTTGCAGAGTCACTTTTTTTCCTCATTCAATTTCAGTGTTTGCTATGAGAATGGATACTTGAAAACCAGCCAAAGACAGAAAAGCCTTTTTGTTCTTGGTGGTATGCAGTGAACTATTCTCGATGAAGTTTCTATTTCTTCATTTTATTTTTTGAAAATTATGTTTCCCACTCTAAATGTCATGATAAGTACCTTCCTCACAGTTTCCTTTATTTTTCTTCTCAAACTTAAAATAGAAGTATTTTTAGGCTGACTTATTAAATGTTATTTAAAAAGAAATGAAATCCACATCACTTATATTTATTGCTTAGTGACTACTTTTACTAGGCTGGCAGTATTCTTGCGCAAAACTATCCTCTTGACAGATGTTGACCTGTTGGAGAATGCTAAGGAGTCCTTCCAAACTGAAGCAGGAGGTAGTTTACTAATTCTCCATTAAGGGCAAAGGGGGATAGGAGCTGATGTTTGCAAGGAATAATACCGTGAAGAGTCTAAATCAAGCTATTTTTGAAGATAATCTTAGCAATGGGGAAGTACACTTGCAGTGTTTGTGCAGGATTTATGAATTTTTTTGTATTAAGTATGTTAAGCACATAAAACCCCTGAGCAAAGGCAAAGTTTAAGCCTTTTGACAGACCTTACTGTGGAGTAGGTTTGGTAAGCTCTGTGCAGTTACTGCTTTTCTCTTCAGCAGGCCTTCCATGGACATCAATTTCAAATGTCTTTCCTTTTGTGTGTGTGATTATACAAACAAAGTTAAAATTTATTGCCAAGAGCTTTTATTTTAACATTTGTTAATGTTTCTCTCTCTTCTTTTAAATGTTCAGAATCAAGATGCAGTCTCACATACTTGCTACTTTGTTTTAGTTTTCCAAAATCAATAACTTTGATTGTATTTATATAAACTTAAATGTGCTTATGTTAAATGGCTTTTTAATATTAATTCCTTTTTCTTGATCTCCCTGATTTAACTTGAAGCCAAAAGATATTTTGGGATGAATTTTTCTTTTCACTTCAGTTATCAGTTGAAGTGAAAAGATTATATTGATAGAAAAGTGTACTTAAAATTGCATGTGAATTTCCGTTATAGCACATCTTTGATTACTGCTTTTGGTAAAGGTATTTTTCCAGATGAAATTCCGTGTCCAGACCTTTATCTGGACAGACATATCTGGTGCTTGCAAATCTGGTGATTTGTGTTTATTGTAACTTGAAAGAATTTTTTTTCAGCTTGGGTCACTTAAAAAAAAAAAAAAAAAAAAAAAAAAAA